ACGAAGTAGTAATCCAATGCCTAATTGTCACTCTGCTGAAAAATTCCCGTGCCGAATCAGTGACGCCAAAAGGGTTCCACCAGAACGTCCCATTCCTGGTTTCTGTTATTTGGTACAGTTCTTTGTGAATCTGTAGCACCAATCTACAATGTTCGAAGAAGGATGGTCTTCATCAGGATCCATAGGCTTCACTCACTGAAGGCCATTTTTAACCATTGATCTGAGAAAGCGGTTATATACAGCTGAGAGTTTAGCTATTTCTGAACGAGTTTGGCACCATGCATGAAATCCATATGAAAGTCTGGATCTGATGAGGCTGTTTAAGAATGTGACTCAAGTTCAAAGGTTGATGCCTTGGCTTTATAGTAATTTGCAATTTTGGGACAAAACTGCCTCAAGCACAGCCATGTTCAATTTCTTTTTCTTTTATACTAAAATTGTTATAAGTGATCCATACGCTGATATATTTAAAGTGTTTGGTATTTACTAATTCCACATCCTTAATTTTTATGATGGATTCAGTGCAAGTGCCATCACTTCTTTCATTCCAATTCTAGATCATAAACTGAGTGAAATTAAATCACCATTAGCAAATAAAGGATACAGTGGGTCCCCCACACCCTTATCTTCAGTTTCAGTCAATTCTAGAAAGAAACAATTCAGAAGTTTTTATTATTGATACCCACCACCTCCACTCCAAAATGTAAGGGTAATGATGCTGGCAATTCTAATAAATGATGCTGGCAATTCTGGTAAAATGGTGTTTCATTTAAATGAAAAGCCTGAAGTTCTTGACTTAATATGGAAAGGAAAAATGTTGGCGTCTGAGGTTCTTAAGATCTACGATGAGAAATCTTCTATCACATAAATTTTATTACAGTCTATTGTTAGAATTATTCCATTATTAGTTATTGTTGTTAATCTTTTAATGTACCTAATAAGATCTACAGTAGGAACAAATCTTCTATCCATCGTGTAACTTTTATTAAGTATTTTTTTTTTTTAATCATTTCACCCCAAACAAGGCAATAATGCTAATAGGACACAAGAGATTACAGGGAGTAAAAACGAATGAGAAGACATTAGTGAGGGGAAGTGAGGGAAGGACATTAAATGAACAGGGTTCTGGAAGACAGAAGATGGTGATTGACTTTAAATTCTTGAAGATCGTAGTTGGCAGGGAAGCAAGAAATTGGAAAAGAGTTCCACAGTTGAGAAGTGCGAGAAAATAAACTATTAGAATAAAACTGATTGCTGCATCTAGCTAGTTCAACAGTAATATGGTGAGACCTAGTTGCCAATCTAGTAGCAGACTTAAATTCATGCGGTCAAGGCACCAAAAAGAAAAGCTCATCAGAACACTTGACATGAAAATATTTGTAGAAAAAAACAGAAGGAAGCCATGTTATGTCAGTTAGACAGTGACTGAAGTCAATATGCCAGGTCAAGATTGATTACATTAAAGACCCTTCTTTGAATATTGTCAAGAATCTCAAGATATATACTAGGAGCAACTGACCAGATATGTAGAATTTTCTTGTAGCTTCATGATTTCCAGCCAACCTTGATTTTCAAGCATTTAAATGCAATGTCAATCGTTATCTTGTCTTCTTAATTCTTATTCTTTTATTGTCCTCTCTCCTTAATAGTAGTCTTTCTCATATTCTCTAACACTCAGTAACCTCTTGCATCTTAGTGGCTTTATTGCCTTTGATTTTCAAAAATTTAAATGCAATGTCAATTGTTATCTTCGGTCTTCTTAATTCTTATTCTTTTATTGTCCTCTCTCTTTAATAGTTCTCATAATTTTTAATACTCAGTGACCCCTTGCATCCTAATGGCTTTATTGCCTTGCTTGGGGTGAAATGATGCAACTGCAAACATCAGAATGAGGTGGGTGTCAACCAAGGGGGAGATTAATGGTTAATAATAATATTAATTGATTACACCAGGATTGGTCATATCCTGAAAGGAGTTGATCCAAATTTTAGAATGAATGGTCATAATTAATCCCCTAAATGTCAATTTACTGACTACTCCTCTGCCCATTGAGTTTGCGCTTATTTTTTTGAAAAGGGATATCCTTTCTCATTCGGACTAGCTGGGGTTTTGTTGATATCTCAGAAAATGAGTGTTAAAAAAAAATGAAAGAAAAAGCATTTCAAATAATGCCAGCATTTCATTAATTTCATTAATGCACAAACTTATCAAAGTAATTAATGGATTAAATATTAGAGGGTAAAGTGTCATGTCAGCTTCCAAGTTGAAAAAAAAAAAAAATTGTGAACAAGGTAAAGTCATGAATCCTGGGCTTTGTCAAGTCATCTGCATACCACAATAGTAGACAGAAATATAAGAGAGAATTATGATATAGACAATCAAGTTTCTCATTCTTACTTGCTCAGGGCTCCTATATCTATTGTTAGCCTTGACAGAAGCCAATTGTTAAGAATGTACAATAATCTAAATTTTGCTTTAACTGAACACCTTTATGCACTTGATTTTGCCCAATTTTTTTTCCAGCCCTCATGAGGATTAAAAGATAAGTTAAGAACTTTTCCTAACCACAAAACATCTGTGAAGTGAGTGAAGTATTTAGAGTTTAAAAGCAATGAAAAGGTTATAATTGTACCAGTGAATAAAGAAAAGCACAACCTTTCGTAAAAGATAGAAAGAAAATATGAGAACTTAAAAAGATCTGACCTTGTCTACAGACAGGAAACAGTCTTGTATCCTAAGGAAGAACAAGGATTATCTTACATCTAAAGAGTATAAAACATTGTTACATCATAACCAAATTCCATGTCTGCCTTAAGAAATGCAAACCAGACATACCAATAAAACCTCTGGTAAATTGTCTTAGCATGTAAAGTCATCTCCTAAGCTGCTTCTTGGTTGACATTTTAAAACCCAATTTCATGCAAGACATCAGTCTATGTGAAGAATATGACTCATTTCATAAAACTTATTTTGATGTGGTTAGCCTCTTTAACAAGGAACGTAAAGTGGAAGCCTTGTACATCATCCATGAAAACCTGAAAAATTGACACTGGTCTGAGGAAACCTATTAGCATCTTTGCTGACAGCTTAATGGAGATGTTAATGTTTTGCGTAAGAATGACATTTTCAATTTCAGTCTGAGATATATATAAAATGTACCATGTCAACTATGCAATCTTCAGATGCAGGGTACTCAATATATATATTATGAAATGGATTAAGTTAAAAAAATTATTTAATATGTTTTCTGTTTACATATTATTTTAATAGATACAATTTATTTAAGAATATGTTCTGTTTTTTAAATAAACAGTATTAATTACATTTACTGGCCTGAATGTTTGAGAAAATTTCATAGAAAATATGTGCTTCTCCGACTGGAATCAAACCTGTAACACCAATGGGAATCATAATTTGATCTGATGTACTGGTATATGTAATTAATACTGTTTATTTAAAAAACAGAGAATTTACTTAAATAAATTGTATCTATTAAAATAATGTATAAGCAGAAAATATATAAAAAGTTAGGAAGTTGTCCACATTAGAGAGTTTTTTTGTTTTTTTTTCAAGAGCTGAAACTTTCAGTTTGGTACATGAATGATCCTTTCATTTGGTGGCTCCCCCAGCGGTCCTTTCATTTGGTGGCTCCCCCAGCAGTCCTTTCATTTGGTGGCTTCCCCAGCAGTCCTTTCTGTGACGAAAGACATGACTAACCTAAGAATTCGAAACGAGTGCGAACGTGTCTTGCCTGCAAAGTGATGACAAAAAGAAATATGGCTGCTATTGAAGACGCATATTATGTGCATCGATCTCGTCGAAAACGAAATGATATTTGCACATGCAAATTTCGATCATATTAGAACAGCATAAAAAGTGGGGTGCCGGGAGCACAAGGGAATTGGGAGTCATTTGGCAGACTGCATGCAATAGAGCTGGACGTACGAATTGACAGAAGGAAAAAGAGGAAGTTGAAGTGGGTGCGACTAAATTGGTGTCTGTTTCACAACTGCCCAGTGTAACGACTGAGAAAGAAAGTCACGCAATCCATTTCCTTGAGACAACCGAAGAAGAAGAAACAGCTGCCTGCCGATGAGCACTGCACTTTTTGACCCCATCTCATCACAATTTTTTTTTTTCCTACACTTTCATTTGGTGGCTCCCCCAGGGGTTCTTTCTTTTGATGACTCAAAACATACAGGTTCTATTGCATCTTGTGAACTTAATTAGCTCTTCCATGCAGTTTAAAAAAAAAAAGAGAAAAAAAATACAAAAACACTCTTTCTTTAAATGCCTTGTTTATCTGTAGAGAAAGAAAAAGGACTTTTGTCCTTATCTTTGTTGTTATTACAATATTTCAGCCGTTGTGTTCTCCAGCCTTCATCAGGTGCTTGATGATCTGGGTAACCTTCAGAGAATTTTGAATAATATGAATAGAAAATTTGTCCCGCAGAAACAATAGCCTAGCGGATGAAGGCATTGCTTCATGAATTTGGTAACATAGTAATCGTGAGTTCAATTTCATGTACCTGAACTCAGTGGAAACAGGACAAGAAAAACCACAAAAAGACATGATAAAAAGAATAAAGATATCCCTAGACATGAGCAGTGGAACAAGAATGATCTTTTCACCGTGTAGATTAAAGGGGTCAGTTTGAAAATCCCTGAAAGTTGACCAAATTGACTGACAACTGAAGAAAGCTGAAGGGCAAAATAGCCGAAACGTTTTGATAACAACAAAGTTGAGGACAATAATCTGAGTGGAAATAATGATAATTCTTCATCCTAGAAATTCCGAGAGAAACACACAAATGTTTCTATCCAAACTGCTATACAAAGTTTAAGTCAGTAAATGACCTTGCTGCGAGTGCTTTCTGGGCATAGATTCATCTTGAATTGTTAACATTAAATAAAGGCCATCAAAAGAAATTAATAGGTTTGTTTTCACTTGACAGAGATTTAGATTTTTAAAAAAGGTGAAGGGAGAAGGTGGCGCTTACCTCAACACCAGAGAATTCTTGAAAAAGTGGTAAGTACTCCTTCAGACAAAGAGCCTCCAACCAGCATTGAATGCCTAGATGTTTTCCCACCATGCCTTTCTTCTTGAGACGTTTCTGTAGCACCAATCTGAAAAGATTCACACAGAATTAATGAGAAAAGAACAAAACAATTAAATGAAGATATTTGGTTTGGTTTGTTTTACAGCATATCAACCTCAATGGGTTATTTAATGAAAACAAACTTTTTGTTGCTGGTAATATTTTTTTCCCTTCATAAATTTATTTTTGGTAATATTTTTTTCGTCAAAAAATGTATTGCTGGCAATAATTTTTTAAAAATAGTATTTCTGGTATTAAAATCTGTTTTTACACTTTCATAGTATTTTGACCCCAGTTTGGAGGTTAACTATTTGCCCATGGCTGGGACCCTAACTGGTACTACCACCCTGGGTCAGGGTGAACCTGGGAACACCAGCAATTAAGAGGTGGTTCCATGCTCCTCAAAACCTCCTGATCAGAGGCCTTGCTGTTGGACATAGTTTATCGTCTTACCCAGGACGGAAATGAAGATATGAAAGGGAAGAAGAAATGATGAGATAGAAGGAAGCATTTACCACCTCAGTCACTCAGTCGCTTGCAAGTAGGCCAATAAATGATATCCTATGACAATTTCTAGATTCACAATGCATTGGGATAGGAAAATATTTCTGCTGTAAGTGTTAATGATGAAAAGCTGTAAAAAGTTAATAAAAATCAAATATACGATATCAAGGGGAAAAAATAACCTTCACTTTTTAATATTCTTCAGAAAAATAGAAACCTTTTCACCGTCTAAATTTCTGAGATGAGGAGTTATAATTTGCAGTCAGACTAATATCCTCATCTTTGTTGTTATTATCATAACCTTTCAACTGTTGTGCCCTCTAGTTTTAGTATCTGTCAATCCAAGTAACCTTTAGCAGGTGTTGGACTGAACACTTTATTTAATCTGCCATGATGAGGAGTGTGAGTAGATTGTTTTTGTTCTGCTGTTTATCTCTAGAGATATCTTGTCTTGTTCTTAAGTAGACTGCTTAAAGTATTCAACAATTGAATCCACAATTACTATATCCCCAAATTAATGGACAAATGCTTTAATTCACTAGGCTATTGACTCTGACGAAGGCTGGAGAGCACAATGGTCAAAATCTTATGATAATAAGATGAGGATAAGAATCCAAGAGTAAATAATGTAAACAAATGAAGATTTTTTTTGGCAATGAAGAAAATCAAATTTTTAAAAATAAGTTTTAAAAAAAAAATTCCTTAATGCTGAAAAAAAATCTTTATTTCATTCACCATTCAAGATTTTAAAATTTTAAAATTCAAAACCTGAGTAATGGCTAATAATCCATGAAAATAGAATGTTCACTTCCAGATTATAAAATATATTATTCAACTCTTAGCTTTAGGTATGCCCCATGGCCAACATATTTTCTACCAGTGCTTAATATTAATATTCTATAAAGTTCCTATTGGCTGAATTAGGGGACCTGCCCACCTCACCTCTACAGCCCATGAACTTTCTTTTGGCCGAATTAGGGGACCTGCCCACCTCACCTCTACAGCCCGTGAACTTTCTTTTTGGCCGAATTAGGGGACCTGCCCACCTCACCTCTACAGCCCGTGAACTTTCTTTTTGGCGAATTAGGGGACCTGCCCACCTCACCTCTACAGCCCATGAACTTTCTTTTGGCCGAATTAGGGGACCTGCCCACCTCACCTCTACAGCCCGTGAACTTTCTTTTGGCCGAATTAGGGGACCTGCCCACCTCACCTCTACAGCCCGTGAACTTTCTTTTGGCCGAATTAGGGGACCTGCCCACCTCACCTCTACAACCTGTGAACTTTCTTTTGGCCGAATTAGGGGACCTGCCCACCTCACCTCTACAGCCCATGAACTTTCTTTTGGCCGAATTAGGGGACCTGCCCACCTCACCTCTACAAGTAGATTTTCCAAGTTAGCTAGATTCTTCTAAATAAACTGAGTTTTGCTGTTGGGAAAGTTTTTTTTTCTTTTACTGGTATTATCAGAGGAATCTATATTGGTTGTTACTATTATTATTGGTAGCAGAATGTATTTAGGGAAGCTGTCATTGCTGGGGATTCAGACTAGCATTGTCCAATAAATTAAATTTCAGCACTGCATCAGGCAAAATCATTTTTATATTTAATCCTTTTAGTATATCTTTGGCTAAATTCCATAATATCATTTTATATGGACATTGTCTCCAGTCTTTGAGAACTATCAAAGTTTTTATAAACCTGATAAGCAGAATCCATTGATTCTTTCAAAGAGAAATTATCCAATGCAGCAATTAACATACCCATTCCATCCTCCTTCCCACCAGATTTAAATTCTCCATTTAATAAGTTACTGTCAGATTTTATAAATGCTTTCTATGATAAAGTTTGGATCATTTTTTTTTTCTTTTAGAATTAGTCCATTTCCTTCTGTCTTTTGAATTGCATTTGAAATATTCTTCTGCTCTTCTCTCCTCTTCATGTTTTGCTTCCTTTTGTTTGGTGCATCCATATATCAATATTCTTACTAGAAGATGACACAGCAATGACAAAATCTGAACCACCAATATAATCCTGGTCAAAGAAAAGCTTCCAAGAAGGGTATTTTTTTTTTTTTTTTTAAACTTTTCAAAATTTCACCCTAATTTTTTTTGGTTGAATTTATATCCTGCCTGCACTTCACTTGAGTCAGAAATATCTGGATTGAGTGAATCAATAAACGAGGATGTTGAATGATGATTTTCACAGCAAACAGGTCCTCCTCCATTTTAAAGATTGGTGCAACGATTGTGTTTAAGCATGAAACAAACTGTCACAATTCAATTTACCTTCCTACATTCAAGTTAGTCTTGTACTTGTTTATAAGAAATGCTTTGTTAATATTGACTGACAATTGCCAGTTCCTGCCTCAATATTGTCATTGAAATTTATTTTTGAAGAATTTTATCCCTGCAGATTTTGATTCAAAGAAAAGTTTTCTCTATGGTCCAATATAGAAAAATAACTTCTCAAAAGCAGAACAGTTGAAAATCCAAGAGTTACAGGTAAATCTTAAGTGCCAGAAGTACGGTTCTAGCAGGTTTTATATCCAATTAAACGTAAGAGACTTCTGTCATATATTTGAGATTTAATACCACTCAGTTCTTTAAAATGAAGCAGTTTTCATTTTTCATTATTAATTATTAATTTTTGATGAGTTTATCTTTTGCGTTAATTTCATTTCACCTTCATACTTTTTATTTTTCACTTTAATTACAAAGTAAATAAATACAATGGATGACCATTTTTTGTTGTTTTCTACTAACAGTTTTTATTATTTACTAGCAGTAGAGCCCGGCGTTGCCCAGGGATGTAACAGTAAGAGATAGATCAAGTATCGACCATCATAAAGACTGAAAAATAAAATTGACAAATAAAATTTAAGGTTGACGGACACGCATGTCTTAATTATTTTTTTTTTTTTTTTTTTTTACGAATTGGTCAAACCCAAACAAAAACATTGTTTTCAATCGTTATGAGTCTACCAATTGAATAGAATCTTATTATAAACAATTGTCTTGTAAATGGAATTTTCAAAGCATTCTGAATTTAAAAATAAAGAAAAAAGTGTGCAAGACAATAAGAAACACTATCTGCCAAAAAAAAGTGAAGTTTTGTTAAAATTGGTTGAAAAATGTAGGAAATCCAATCCCATATATATACGAACACACACACACAAACAACCTGGGTTTTATAATAAGTATAACTCGATATGAGTTGTCCCCCTTTCATTCTGGCGCCAGAATCGCCTTTTCAAATTGATATCGTGCAAAAACAATAGTGTTTTTCTAATTTCTGGCACTGTCAGAACCACCGCAAGGTAATTTTACGTAGTCCTGTGAAGTTTTGTTGAAATCGGTTGAAAAATGTAGGAAATCCGATCCAACATATAAACGTACACACACACACACACACACACACACACACACACACACACGCACACACAATCTGCATTTTATAATAAGTAAGATGATATAAATTACTAACAAAATAATGGTAGTTTCAGAACTGTGGACAATAAGTTCATTTTGGAAGCCATTACTCATGAATTCAATTCCGAGAATTTGCTTTACCATTATTTTATCATTATCATTTCAGTGTTCAACTAAGCTACATAAATATTTATAAGTAAAAAGATATCTCTTCAGAAAAACCTATTGACTAATTAAAGAATTTATGAATGAAAAATCATGTGTAGAGAGGGGGGGAGAATTATGACAAATCAGAAAAATTAAAATTTTTTTTTTTAATAGTTAAACGAAAATTTATTTTATTTACGCTATATTCAGATTATTGTCTTCATCTTTGTCATTGTTATCCCAATGTTTCAGTTATGCCCTCCAGCCTCCGTCAAGTGTATATCAATCTGGGTCACCTATAGGGAACTGAGACCTTTATTTAAACCCTGGGGTTAGACTTCTCATTCCACAGCTCATGTCTAGGGACATCATCTATCCATGTAAATTAAGGCATGTTGAAACACTGGTTCCATATGATCTCTGAAGATAAGCAATGTCAAGCCTGGTCAGTACCTAGATGGGTGACTGCTTGGGAATACCAGGTGCCATAGGCTTAGATGTGCAGAATGGATAATGGTTCAGGATTGTTAATTGGTGAGCTGAGTTCCAATTCCAATTGGGTTCGTTGTATTCACTTTTGTGCAAATACATTATGAAAAGGTCGGAATATACCCATTCTTCCCTGCTCCCAGCTAGTAATTTCAATAAATCATTATTACCTAAAAAAAAAAAATTTCTTACAATGTAAAAATATTTTCTGGCTTTGAATAAGCTGCAAAGGGTTGATAAGCTGTAAAATACGAATCAATTGTAGATTAAATAAAAGGTTTTGGTTCAGAATTCCCTGTAGGTTATCCAGGTCGATATACACCTGAGGAAGCCCTGAGAACATAACAGCCAAAAAATTGTGATATCAAAAACAAAGATGAGGAAAATAGTCTGAATATAAATAGTATAAAAAATGTTAATTTCTCATCTGAGAAATTCAGACGGAATATTTATTTTACTCACAGTAAAGTTTTGAGAATAAGATATTCTATTATAGACAGCAAAAAGATAAAAATTGATTGCCAAGTTTTTGTAATATATCAACCATTGAGATTGAAATTACTGCCATTTCAAAGAATATATTAAAATTATTGTAGTTCATTAACATGGTTCCATTTCAGCAGGAAATATTAAAAAAATAAAACCCAACACATGTAAGCAGAAATTAAACTTAAATTTTAAATAAAAAGGAATTTGACATTGTAATTAAAATTTATATTTACAGAAAGACAACAATAAACAGAAAAATAAAACATTTTATTATCACATCAAGATTTGTTTTGTGTTTATGATTGATCAATGTGGATAAGTTTTAACATTTTCATTATTTACATTATTCAGACACAACGTTTCGGCCATTGTATGCTCTGGCCTTCTTCAGGTGGTTGGAATGTCGAACTTAACCCTTTATTTCGTTCACTGCTAGGTAGACCCACGTGCCATATTTAATGGATGTCAGTTGTCAGTTATCTCCTGTTAATTTCCCTCTGAAAGTTCTCCACTGCCTTAACCAGGTATTGAACTCACACTCTTTGGGTCTTGTCACTGGATCTAACCAACATCTTTATCCACTGTGCCATGTGTCCTTGATAAACATAACATTTTGTACTACTGGAGTGGGGTGACCAGACAGATTTTTGGGATGAGAAATTTAGAGCAAAACTTCCCAGAATCCTCTTTTTAAGACTAAAATAAAATGGTAGAAAACAGAAATTGCTGGATACTTTTGCACACACCTAATAATTAAGATAAGTTGGATTAGAATGCTATGTTTTTGGGGGGGTTTTTTCAACAGCATTTGACCATATTTGCTCAGAAGTCTAGAATAGAAAGAGGAAGGTTACAATAAAAGGGGTAAGATGAAGAATTTATTTAAATTAATTTTTTTTTCAGAAGAAAAAAACTGAGAGAAATGAAATTGGAATAAACTGACAGGCTGGACAAATATTGGAAAATTATTTATTTCTGGACAGAAATGGAAAATTATTTATTTCTAGACAGAAATGGAAAATTATTTATTTCTAGACAGAAATGGAAAATTATTTATTTCTAGACAGAAATGGAAAATTATTTATTTCTAGACAGAAATGGAAAATTAAATAAATGGCGTGGAGTCTGGAATAACAGGTGATGGTAAAAAGAAAAATTTCAAAATTTGAATAATTGGCCACACCCATTTATCCCAGACACAAGAGTATTAAAAACACAAATCTTTACTGATGTCACTTGCAGTTATTTGGGGAGAAGTGGGTCATTTTATTTTCATTGTTTTACATCCAGGGATTTTCCTCTTTTTCAAATAGCATCCTTATAAAATTACTCAGTGTTTTTCTTTTCCAACTAAAATGGTTTGCTTATATACAGCAGTTATCCATATTTTGAACAGCTTGGAGACAGTGACATCTCTGCTCTTTAAAGTTTAAATCTTAGAAAAGTTTTAATTAGAAATTTTTCCCGAAAGTTGGCTCAAGAAAAATAGGGCTTTAGTTTTCTCTGACTGGTCAAATATTTCATGTGATGTTAATTTCTAACCAATAGACACTTTGATTTAAACAATGTGGATCATAGCTCCCCACACCCAGAACATGCTGAAAGAAACTTGTCGGTAACTTCAAACAAATCATCTCCAACAACAGCTTAGATGGTTAGGGGATCTTTGTGGACAAAGTCTTTTCTAAAGTACAGATTTTTCTGTGCACCAACTGCTCAAAGACTTACTCAACTAAAGTCTATTTTTGCTCTTTTTTAACAATTCTGAATTCATGTACGTGTGTTTGTAAATACAATGATTTATTTCAACAGGTATATCCATGTTTTCTTTATTTTTGTTTGGAATTCAGATGTTCAGATATTGAATATAAAATAACCTGGATGAGAGAATTTCCCACAACCTCACTATAAAGACTGATAAAGTTATTTACTATGATATCTACAAATCCATACATTGTGTCTATTTGCTATTGGTCTTGACCTGGCATCTCAACTTTAGTTATATTCCCCACTGCTGTAATTTAGTTTCCCTGTACCTTTTTCTATAACTAATTTCATGGTAATTGTTCGGATGAGCTCTTCACTATGATTCTTAGACTTTATGATTTTAAGTGCAGTACTAGATTGGCAGCAAGGTCTCATAATTTTACAGTTGAATTGGCTAGATGCAACTGTTCTATGCTAATAGTTTCTTCTCTCATACTTTTCATTTGTGGAACTCTCTTCCGGCTTTTCTGTCAACTTTGATCTTCAAAAATTTAAATGGAACATCAATCATTATCTTCTGTTTTCTTAATTCTTTATTGTTCTCTCCTGAATAATGTTTATTTTTCTCATTTTCCCTCACTCAGTAACCACCCCACTTGCTTCTTAGTGGCTTTATTGCCTTGCTTGGCGTGGGGGGGGGGTGAAATGATAAAAAAAAGTTACAAAAATACTGAGATCAAAACAACAAAGATAAAGATACTGGTATGTTTAGTTACTGAGAGTAACTATTAAAACTATTTTAGTGTCTATCTTAATAAGGAAAAATTTTTAAATCAGAGATGGTTCTTGATATCTCTGCTCAAAATCATTGTACAAATCAAGAACTGTGTTTTTAAGTAAAAGCTTCTGATAAAAATGAACACTCACCATAGTGTATGACAAGTGAGAGAGAGAGGTGATAATGAAGAAATGTCACAGTGAGAAATAATTGCAAGGAAGAGAGAAAAAGTTAAAAAAACAAAATAAAGAACTGGGTGACCAATTAAAACCCTGTTATTATGTAAGTGACTTTTACCGCCTGAATGACAGACAATGACAGCAGTTACAATGATAATCAAGAAGATTAAAAGGAATGTCATTAAATAATTATTTTCTCATTAATGTGGCCAATAATAAATACAAGTTTGTTCTTATCTCACTATCATGAGAGGTTAAATTTACTCAGTGGTTTACCTTTTTGTTGAAACTCGATAGCAAAAATGATTGGAGGCATTAAAGTGGGTCACATTCCAAACCTGAAAACTAAAACATATTTGCTTTCCACAGTTTGAGAGTATTTTTTTTTTTTTGTAATATAAAATTATTAAAATTTTTCAATCAAATCAGATTTAGTGAATCCCAGCCCACTTTAGTCACACCTTTCAAAACTCTCAAATGATTGCTTTTTTATGGTTTATAAAATTATTTTGCAAATTATTTAAAGCTAGAAAATATTTTTAGATAATTTTTTGGAGTTAATAATGATTTACTGATACAAGTCTGACTACTTAACTCATAGCTGAGAGAAAAGTGGATTCATCCTTGCTTAAGGGTATTTACATGTAAGAAAAAACAATGAACCCAACTGAAATTGGAACTCAGCTCTCTGATTTCCGGTTTCAAGCCATTATGCATTAAATCACCTGCACATCCAAGATTACAGCACCTACTATTCCCAAGCAGTCACCCATCTAGGTATTGACCAGGCTCAAGGTTGCTTAACTTCAGTGATTGTAAGGGAAACCTGTGATTTGGCTGTAAGCTTCACTTTAGCACTGGAGATCTTAACAATACCTCCTCACTGCACTTAAAAAAAAAAAAAAAAAAAATCCCATGTCTAAGTTATCCAGGGGAGGGGGTGACCTTGTGTGATAAATCAAACTATGCCAAAATTCCCTTGATTTTCCATCTAATTCTGAGTCAGTGCCGAGAGTACCATCAATAACAAGAAAAAAAAAAAAAAAAAGATCATTTTTGAAAGCAGAAAAGAATTGGCATATTTTTTGTTTTTATTCTTCTTAGAATGGAACAGGAAGTGTCGAGAAAAATACTATGGAGGTCAGTAAAGTTCTCAAGGACAATTTTCCTTTTTTCTGATCAGATAAACCTATTGTCTGGCTAATTGTCCACAAGTAACTTTATACCTGACCCCCAGTTAAGGCCAGAGGAAGTAATATTTTGTGTCACCAACAAAAGCTAGACAGGAAATCCCAAATATTAACTAATTGCAGTTATTCTAGAAGGCCAAGGAATGATGCTAAAAGGCAGGGTGACAATTGAAGGAGGGGGGGGGGGCATAGTGCAGGGGGGGGTCGTTACTGTCAAGGTTGTGAAAAACATGTGAGTTGAGGCGGAAAAAAATATTCAGATCAACAGTCAAACAATGTTTAATGAATTTGAGGGCTGTCTTTATAGGTGATTTATATGATATGAGAAATATGTTAGCTGAGTTATGTGTGGGGAGGCGGGAGAGAAAAATGGATTGGTGTTAACAAGTATTCTATAAAATGAATACTCCCAGGCATATTAACATTTTAAAGCTGTGGTTCTCAAAATTTTTGAAGTTGGACCACACTTGAAATCCTACCAATAATTGTAGGCGCACTATATATACAGATTTCAGAAAAATGTTATAATGAAGTCAGATAATGCAGAAAAGAAATAATAATAATAATGTTGTGTTTAGAATAGAATAAGTAATCCTGATTGACATATTTACGATAAAGTAACTAATTTATCACATTTGCTTATAAACAAATAAGTAATAAATTATAAATGATAAATTACTATGAAAGTATAAATACGACAACTTTTAAACAAACAATTCTAATTCTTGTCATCATTTTATGTTACATAATACATTTTTTAGTAGTCAACTTTCCTGAACTAGACATGGAGGACTGACCAGCCACCCTTACCAGTTCAATACAACAAAAGAATAGCTTTTTATCATTGAAGCTTTTCTCGAAGGCTATTCACAATAAGACAGGTACAGCAATATAGTAATATATAAGTAAATATATTTATTTCTTACATCTGGACACATTTCTCTGGAAATGCCAGGACACACCTAGACATCTTCCAGGAAACATTAGTGTGTCCCCAGGCACACCATTTGAGAACCACTGTTTTAAAGTAACTGACTGTTTCTATTTTGCAAGTTGCAAAACAATTTTTGCTTGTTTTTATAAAATGATCATTCCAGTTAATTTGCTATTACAATAAAATAAACACAAGCCATCATCATCATTTAACTAAATCATCATCATCCTTTAAATGAGATTAGTTATGAACTTATTTCATGATACTGATTGAATGATCTTTATTTAAATATTCATACAATGTTATCATGTTGTGAAAGAAAGGGAGAAAATTGATAACTGAGTAGATACATTAATGGTATTAAGTCAGAAGATATAAAAATTTATGTAAAAAGAAAGAAAAAAAAAGAAAATGTAATATTATATAAAACTAATTAAAAGGTAAATAAAAAAAATTAAATAGACTAGATTTGTTTATTACACTTTCTTTTGGGGGGTTGTGTTTTACTTAAACCTTTATTGATAGAGAAAAGTTACTGACTAGTTTGAATTGAGATCTGGATTTCAAAATTTGTACAAAAAAGAGGCTCTGAGAACCACCAAAAAAAGATAATAATGTATAAAATTTGTTTTCCACAATTTGGAAAAAAAAAAAAAAAAAAAAAAAGTGATACATTTTTTGAACAATGTGGAAAAAATTTCAAATTTTGAATTGAATCTAGATTGGATTTATGGGTATTTAAAAAGTCGAGTTGCTCTAATGACTAGTAGGGTTTTGGTTTTCACAGGTGAATGAATGTAGGCTGTTTTTGGAAAGCCTAAGTTGATAATGACAAAAGGGAAGAAAGAAAAAAAAAAGTGCAAAAAAGAATTCACAAAAAAAGAAAAAAAAAGAAGAAAAAGCAGAAACAGAAAAAGAAACAGAAAGAGAAACAGAAAAGGAAGAGAAACAGAAAGAGAAACAGAAAAGGAAGAGAAACAGAAAGAGAAACAGAAAAGGAAGAGAAACAGAAAGAGAAACAGAAAAGGAAGAGAAACAGAAAGAGAAACAGAAAAGAAAGAGAAACAGAAAAGGAAGAGAAACAGAAAGAGAAACAGAAAAGGAAGAGAAACAGAAAAGGAAGAGAAACAGAAAGAGAAACAGAAAAGGAAAAGAAACAGAAAGAGAAACAGAAAAGGAAAAGAAACAGAAAGAGAAACAGAAAAGGAAAAGAAACAGAAAGAGAAACAGAAAAGGAAAAGAAAAGGAAAAGAAACAGAAAGAGAAACAGAAAAGGAAAAGAAAGAGAAAAGGAAAAGAAACAGAAAAGGAAAAGAAACAGAAAGAGAAACAGAAAAGGAAAAGAAACAAAGAGAAACAGAAAAGGAAAAGAAACAGAAAGAGAAACAGAAAAGGAAAAGAAACAGAAAGAGAAACAGAAAAGGAAAAGAAACAGAAAGAGAAACAGAAAAGGAAAAGAAACAGAAAGAGAAACAGAAAAGGAAAAGAAACAGAAAGAGAAACAGAAAAGGAAAAAAACAGAAAGAGAAACAGAAAAGGAAAAGAAACAGAAAGAGAAACAGAAAAGGAAAAGAAACAGAAAGAGAAACAGAAAAGGAAAAGAAACAGAAAGAGAAACAGAAAAGGAAAAGAAACAGAAAACAAAGCAGAAAAGAAAGAAAGATTCTACAAATTTAGAGGAAGATATACGTTTATATTTCTATCATTGTTTGTGAAAGTGTCACAAAATCAGACATATTGACCGTGATTTTGAACTTTTATAAAAACACAAGATTTATTTTAATTTTTGAATTTCAGTTTCAAAACTAAAGCTATTGTCTATAAGTTATGCAGCACTGTTTATTAATTTGTCATCCTTCTCAACAGTTGAATGAATGGAAGTAAGTAAATATATTGTTGAAAATTATAATTGTTTTTATGAGCCTAACAGACTTATAATTTAGAACTTATCTTGCCTAATTGTCTGGCACATAAATGAAAATTTTGTGCAAGTTTGTTTTCTAAGTTCTGTGCTATTATTATTATTTTCATGTCATTGTAATAAATGTTTCTTTCTTTCTTTCAAATTTCTTTTCAGAGTAAGAGTCTTGTGTTTGTGTGTGTCATTCAGTATACTCAGGATAAAAAAAAAAATCAACATTCTCTCCTCTTCTAAATTTTCTTAAAGATGCGGTTTGGTTAAGTAAACAGACTAAGAACACAAGTGTAGCGGAAATAGAGGCGGTTATGAAAAGGCATCAGCTTAGCTCTAAAATTAGGAACTAAAAGAAATAGAGATAAAAAAAAGAAACAGACTCGGCAACAAGGGATGAAGTCTGTGATCACAACTATAAGGGTGCAAAAGTCTTTAAGATGTGAGCTCCTTAACTGTCACCTGTTCTCTCTAAACACTAAAATATAAATGCCTTGCTGCTTCTTGGAAATCCTCTTTTGTTATTCCAGTCTTTAAGAACTCAGCTAAACAATCTGAACCTTCTATCAGCCTAGAGCCTTCTACCTCTTTTTGGCAAAGTACTAGAGGCTCTAATTAACTCTGAATTAGTTAAGCATCTCACCTCACAAGGTCTTCTTTCAAACAAGCAATACAGTTTTCGCTTCTCTAGGTCAACTGCTGATGTGTTAAAGATTATTGCTGAAAGAATCTATCAAGCTTTAGATAAGAATGGTGAAGCTTGGGCTGTCGCTTTGGATATCTCAAAAGCATTTGACAGGGTTTGCCATACCGGTCTTCTTCAGAAGTTTAAAGGTTATAGTATTTCTGGATTAATTTTTGAACCGATTCAGCCTTTCTTATAAAATCACAAAATGAAAGTTATCTTGAATGGCCACTCTTCTAGATCTTTTTGCATTAATGCAGGTGTTCTCCAAGGCTCTATCGTTGGACCTACATTGTACCTAATTTTCATCACTGATCTTGCTGATGTCATCAGTTCTCAACTCGGTATCTATGCTGATGCCACAACTATTTACTCCTGTCTTGATAATAAGTTTGATCAGTTAGATAAGGTCAAATTGGCAGCTGATCTTAAAAATGACTTACAATCTTTTAAAGTATTAATTCCAATGCCTCAAAAATGAATTTGCTCTGTTAATCATCTTAGAGAACCCTTTTTACCTTCCATCAACATGGCGGATGTTAACCTCCAGGCGAGTGACTCACTCCACCTTCACAGACTAACATTTTCAGCTGACATGAAGTGGAAAGAGTATATTGAATCAGTTACTAAGTCTGCAGCTAAGAAAGTTAGTTCACTATGTTGTGTCCTTACCAAGCTACCGATATAATATTATTATGCATATAATCAGTATGTAATGTTTCATGGTAGATAGTTACAAGTGTTTACTGCCCATTCAACCTGTAGCTGGGCATTACGTCATTTTTCTCTACCACCAATAAAGCGGCAGTCAAGGCTCAAAGGGTTAAATTCATGCGGTTGATGTACCAAAGAGGAGAGCTCATTAGAATAACTGCCATGAAAATATTTATAGAAGAGTCAGAGGGAAGCCATATCACAAGAGTAGGAAAATGACTGAAGTCGAGATGCCAGGTCAGGATGGTTAACATTATCAACTATTCCTAGATTTATAAATGGCAAGATGAATTTTGACAAGAAAAATTATCTGGTATGATACACAGAACCAACTTTCCTAGCAGCAGACCAAGCAATTGATTCAATATATTCTTTCCACTTCATGTCAGTAAAAAGAGTG